GGCTGGCCACAGTAGGGGTTGGGGGGGCTGGGGGAGTGATCGGGGCTATTGGGGGTCCCCCCCATGGTGCCCTCCCCTCTCCTCAAGCCATCCCGGCCCCTTACTCACTGGCACCAGAGCCCTGGTCCTGAAGCATGTGGCCTGGCCAGCCACGTGTTTCAGCACCAGGGCAAGGGCCAACCATAGAGATGCTCTGGTATCCAGAGTATCTCCATGGAGGACCCAGCCTCTGGTTACCTCAGGGCATGGTCCAGGACTGTTCCCTGCCCGGCTTTTTTAAACATCAATTTTTTTAGACCCCCAGGAGTCTAATTTTCTCCCCGCACTGCAAACTTGCAGCGTAGGGAATGTTTTTTCATTCCCACACATGCCTGTTGCCCCACCTCAAAGGGGTTTGAGGCAGGGCAAGAGGCACATGCACACTTGTGTGGACATGCCTGATGTGTTTAAGTCAGCAGGCCTGGATGAGCTTCATCTGAGAGTACTGACAGTATTGGCCAGTGTCATAGCAGAACCACTGGCATGGCTGTTTGAGCATTCATGGCACTTGGGTCAGGTCCCGGAGGACTGGAAAAGGGCCAATGTGGTCCCTATTTTCAAGAAGGGGAGGAAGGAGGATCTGAGTAACTATAGGTTATTCAGTCTCACCTCCATGCTTTGAAAGGTCTTTGAAAAGATTATGAAGGATCATATTTGTGGAAGTCCGGTGGGAAAAATAATGCAGCAGGGAAACCAGTAAGGATTTGTAGCAGGCAGATCATGCCTGACCAATCTGGTTTTGTTTTATGATGGTCACAAAATGCTTAGATGCAGGAGTAGAGGTGGATGTCATTTTCTTGGATTTTAGCAAGGCCTTTGATACAGTATCTTATCCCATTCTCATAAATAAATTAAGAGGCTGTGACATAGATGTTTACATGGTCCAGTGGGTGGCAAATTGGCTTAGTGGTTGCACCTAGAGAGTGGTAGTAGATGACTCGTTATTGACCTGGAAGGGTGTGGGTAGTGGGGTCCTGCAGGGTTCGGTCCTTGGACCTGTTCTCTTCAATATCTTCATCGGTGACTTGGATGTGGGTGTGAAGTG